ATAATTTAGGACGAAGTGATTGGCTCCAATCATTATATAACGCACGCGCTCAGTGGGTACCCGTGTATGTCCGTGATTCATTTTTTGCTGTTATATCTCCCAATCAAGGGTATGATAATTCCTTTTTTGATGGATATGTGAATCAGCAGACCACATTACCATTGTTCTTTAGGCAGTATGAAACAGCTTTAGAAAATTGGTTTGAAAAGGAAATAGAAGCAGACTTTGACACAATGTGCACTACACCTGTATTGAGGACACCATCTCCTATGGAGAAGCAAGCAGCAAATCTTTATACGAGAAAAATATTTGCAAAATTTCAAGAAGAGCTTGTTGAAACTTTTGTCTATACTGCAAATCGAATCGAAGGTGATGCAACTCTTGGCACTTTTCGGGTTGCTAAATTTGAGGATGACCAGAAGGCATATGTTGTCACGTTAAATTATCCAGACATGAGAGCTAATTGTAGCTGTCAAATGTTCGAGTATTCCGGCATTCTTTGCAGACATGTATTAACCGTCTTCACAGTAACTAATGTACTTACCTTACCATCTCATTTCATTTTGAGAAGATGGACAAGGAATGCAAGGAATGGACTTGGATCAGATGAACGTGCTATTGAGTTACACGGCCAGGAGTCTTTATCGTCAAGGTACAATAATTTATGCCGAGAAGCAATCAGGTACGCAGAGGAAGGTGCAACTGCTCCAGAAACTTATAATCTTGCCATGACTGCACTAAAAGAAGCTGGGAAAGAAGTAGCAACTGTCAAAAAGAATATTGCAAAAGTTGCACCTCCTAGCTCTCAGGTCAGTGGGGGGGCTGGGTATGATGAGAGGAAGACCTCAGCTTCAGCATCAGATACAACTCCACTGTTGTGGCCTCGTCAAGATGAAGTAATGAGGCGATTTAATCTTAACGATGCTGGTGCTCATGTCCAATCCATTGCTGATTTGAATTACCCGCATATAGCTCCTGTCTCCCTTCACCGAGATGACAATCCTCCCGACCATGTGGTTTGTTTATTTAGTTTTGCTTATATCTTGGTTCCGAACTGTGAACGTGAGTCAAAGTTTCTAATACTGTCCTTCGGTTAGGCTGTTCTTCCTTATTTGAAATCAATGACTTGGGTGATGGAGAATAAAAATTCAACCACAGGAAATAGAGTTGCTGTTATCAACTTGAAGGTACTAAAGGACACATGATTTTCTTTTACTGGATTGTTATGTCAAATAACTTTCAAGAAGTTATGATTTCTTAAGGTTGCCTATTCTGATCTCATTTTTTATTACTTATTGTAGCTGCAAGACTACAGTAAGAGTCCGTCTGCAGAATCGGAAGTTAAGTTTCAGCTCTCGAGGGTTTCACTGGAACCAATGTTGAGGTCTATGGCATACATCAGCGAACAGCTCTCGACACCAGCGAACAAAGTGGCTGTCATCAACTTGAAGGTACGATACCGAGTGCATCTAAATTTTTAAATTTACCTGATTTTTGTGTCTTATATAACTGTTAGGTTCTAGTAATGGGAACATTCAATGGCCTCTTGCTAAATATTAGCAATCGATCCATATTTTAGAAGCTCGAAGGATACAAAGTGTTATTCTATTCACGGTTGGAGGGTGTTCACAACTCTTGAGAGTTCTGGTGACTCTTAATGTGTAACAGCCTAAACCCACCGCTAGCAGATATTGTCTTCTTTAGGCTTTTCCTTCGGGGTTTCCCTTCAAGGTTTTAAAACGCGTCCACTAGGGAGAGGTTTCCACTTCCTTATAAGGAATGCTTCGTTCCCCTTTCCAACCAATGTGTGAACTCACAATCCACTTCACTTGGGATCCCAGTGTCCTCGCTAGCACACCGCTCGGTGTCTGGCTTTGATACCATTTGTAACAGTCAAAGTCTACTGCTAGCAGATAGTCTTTTTTGGGTTTTCCCTCAAGATTTTAAAACGCGTCCACTAGGAAGAGGTTTCCACATCCTTATAAGGAATGCTTTGTTCCCCTCTCCAACTAATGTGGGTACTCACATCATGTATGCTATATGTATTGCTTTCTTACTTATAAATGCCTTCTGGTGACTCTTTCTGTACGCTATACGTGTCATTATTTTCCTCATCGATGCATGTTCTGAAATATTGCATCTCAGCTTCAAGATACGGAGACAACTTCGGGAGAGTCTGAGGTTAAGTTTCAGGTCTCTAGAGATACATTGGGTGCAATGTTGAGGTCAATGGCCTACATTCGTGAGCAGCTTTCAAATGCTGTAAGTATTTTTTGCCAAGACCTTTTCGTTTTGTTTTCCTTCCCTCTTGGTTGCTATCGTTTGGATTATCGACCACTGTTATAATGATTTTATCGTCTTAAAATTTGACTGGAGTTTCTTCAGTCCTATCTCAACCAGTGAGAAGTGTTTTGCAAATATCCAATAATAAAAAGCAATCTTTAATAGCCATACCTGGCATTCAGTTAATTTTAAGCAACTTGCACGAGTTTGACTAATCTCATAACTCAATCGATCAATTATCCCATAACATTTGGTTGTTTGGAAATTCATGATGTCTTTATATCCTAAATAGGTGGTCACCATCGAGTTTAAACCAATCCTCCAAGTCATTCTTTTCCGGCGAATTTACATGTATTTTTCGTATTGTCTTTACATATCCTCACATCAATAGCCATGCATTTTTATATTTATATTACATGTACTCATTCCCTTGAGGTCGAGAGTTCAAATCATCATTCTCTCATTTGTCGTAAAGAAAATAAGGTTTTTCTTTTCCCTTCAAAGATCCATAGCCCAAAAAAAGGAAAGAATTTGTAATTGAGGAGAACAAGTCTGAAATGTTATTAGAATGCTGTTTAGAACTTTGGATTGTCTGAATGTTCTTATTTGTATCAACACTTGTTTGGCAGGCTGAGTCAGAACCTCTTCCAAAAAAGCAAAGGAAGTAAGGACCTCATGGACACCTGCACTTCTTACATCCTATATTTCTGAAACATGGCAATGGTGATGGCTAAAATCCTTTCTAAATCTGGCTTTACCACCCCTCCTCTCCATCCCCC